AACTGGTTTACAGCCCACCAATCTATTGGGAATATAGCGCCATTAATGGCTTTAAACAAGAATACTCAAATAAGGCTAACAAGTAAACTGCTTAAACAAAGAAATATGATGCTAATCAAAATCAAGCACCATACAATTAAATTAAGCAGCGAATTTTCCGATAAGATATTGGCCTATTAATGGAAACAATAAAGCGGCGATTCTACCCCTCTAGTTCATCGATCAAACAAATAAAGTTGATTTCAGAACTGAGTAGGCTAACCGATTCCTATATGCGATTCAGATCATATAGATATGCTTATATTATGATTGCAGAAAGGTGTAGAAAACAGATTGTGAATCGAGGAAAAGAAAGTTACATTCTGGACGAAGATAAAGTGGGAGACGACGATAACGCCGACGACCGCTCCGACGACCGCTGTTGGTCCCGTTAACAGGCTCCACTTTCGGTGTATCATCTTTGATTGATTCTTCACCGTCTTCTCTGCCTCTCGGTGTAGATACTGGAATTTGATGATTGCCGTGAACAGATTGCGTCCAGATCTTTGGAACCCGTCCAAAATTCTAAGAACATGCAAATTAACCAGGTCCGAGTGTCCGACCCTAGGCTAAAGGCCCATATTACAAAAAGAAATATTAATATTTTATCCCACTCTGTTTATTCTTAAAAATAAATACTTACTCCAAAGTTTTTTTCTGTTTTATTTTTTGCGCATTTCATAAAACACTTTTATCCCGCCTTGAATGCCAAAAAAACTTTCAAAATAACTTCTACCCACAATAAAAAAAAATGTTGTAAATTTTAGGCGTTTTAAATATCGGTAGAAGTGTTTTATGAAATGCGCAAAAATAAAACAGGAAATACTTTTTAGGACGGAGTGAGTACATCTTACCTACTCATTTTAAATTAGATTTTTGGTTTTTTTGTTTTGACTAAATTATTTACCAAACTAAACTTCTCATTTATGAACACCCCTTCCTATAAAATTACATTATTAATATTGTAAGTCATATTTTACTATAAAAATATTAAAAAATATTTTAACATGTGGAATATCTTTTAGTCATATTTAATACTACCTTCATCTCTATTTTAATTACAACAATGATTTTTGAAATTATTTTATTTACAAATTGATACATCAATAAAAAAAATTATATGTTAAAAAATTACATCAAAAATATTACAAAATAAGATGTGACAAAAATATTTTATTTTATCAAGTAATTGATGAAGACATTAAACACACAAACAAAAGTTATTGAGAAGATAGATAAAATAAAATCGTAATCAAAATAGGAACGGAGTGGATACGTTGAATTTAAGTCAAAGTATAATCTTTTAATCTTTTTGTTCGTCCCAAAAAAAGGTCAATTTTATACCTTTGGAAAGAAATCTGTAGTCTTTAAAATTTCTTTTCTATTTGCATTGTTTGGGCCCGAATATGGGTGAACTTTCTCATTGATCCTGAAAAGTATACTTTCTATCACTTAAGTCAGAGGTTTTTGAATATGTAAGTCTAATTATTTATTTCTATGTCAAAACAACTTAAAATTTTTATTTGTTTTGCGTAATGTGACATTTTTTAGAGGAAGAACTTGAATTAGAATTACTCCGTATGTTTAGGACTAATTCTTCACTACTAGAGAATAACAAAAAGACAAAGACCAAAAAAATTGACTGGGACCGACCGAAATTTGAACTAGAAACCTTGAGACCAAAATAGTCCTCGAGATTAGTCTAGTCTGAGATCGGGAGTCCCAAATGCTCACTTTCTTCTTGAACATTTATCCACTTTTAACTCTTTTCAGTCAAAATTAGTAAACTTTGACATCTAATGAAATAAAAATGATATTAGATATCAATACAAAAATAGTTTTATTAGATTTATTATATCAAATATTTTAAAACATTATTTTATCTAAATAATATATAATATATATTTTATTTAATTATAGGTCAAATGTTGAAAACAGTTAATCAAAAAAGTCAAAACTGGACAAATATTCATGAACGGAGGTAGTAAATGTAATTCGTAGTAGTTTGTATGGAGGACTTGGCTGAAAGACGGACTTCCAAAGGCTATGATCCATATATTAGATATTATAACAACAATGGTTTAAAGTGTCCCGTTTGAAAATTCGATAGTTCTTATCCCCGAGACAGAATGTGACAAACATAAACTTTGAATAAAGTAATATAGACGGGTAATAAATACGGAGTAAGTCATTAGTGCTAAAAAGTATTCTATCCCTAAAAGATTAGTACACTTCGTTATTCCAAACTACGAAAACATATGTTTACTTGTGTCTTTATAAGTACAACTATACCCTCTTATTATGTTGAGATTACTATTACTCTACAAGTTTCTAAGACTATAAATCTATGACAAGTAAACTTTGTTTTTTTTTCAGATCCACTTTCAAAAAAATCCTTGGATTCGATCAAAATAAATTATTTGTATATTGAGATTAGGGATCAGACCAGATCGAACTATCAATCGTAGTAGATCAGACATATGGTTATATTTGTTTTCTCTTTAAATACATAAATAGAAAATTTGTTTAATTTATATCGAAATTATTTGTGACTCTAATAGTATTCAAAAGATTAATATCAAATAATAGTGATAGATTTTTAAGATTAAAAGACCCGTCAAGTCCGAGCTCGTGCTTTTTTTTGCTCTTCTCTATTTGCCACCGTCCGCCAGCCCGTAGTTACAACTTACTCCCTCCGTTCAAAAAAGATTTACACGTTTCAAAAAAATTGTGTTCCACAATCTCTTACTCATTTCTATTAAAAAACCACTTTTACCCCTTACTTTTTCAAACCCTACCTATCACATCATACTTTTTTTCTAATAATCTACACATCACATCCTACTTTACCCATCACATCAAGGATATTTTTGGAAAGTCAACACAAAATTATCCTTCCCTTAATTTCAACTTTAGTCAAAATGGGTAACAATTTATGGGATGGAGGAGTATAACCTAAACAGATACGGGGTAAAAAAGAGAAGCGGTGGGTCAGTCGGACGAGGAAAGAGCGAGAACTAGAATTGCGTCTCTTCTGCCATCTCATCTTCTCTTCCAGATATATAAATACGCTTTTCAGAAATCGATCAATTGATTACGAAGTGTTATTTCTTAACATCCAACAATAAAAAGGGGGAAGGCTAAAGCATAAAAGGAACGGGAATGGCGGAGCAGAAGAGCACTATTGAATCTCTCAGGGAATGGGTCGTTGAGCACAAGCTTCGAACCGTCGGTAATGTTCTCGAATTCCATAAGCACGCAGATGTGCATCTATAACACCGTTTCAAGGTTTTTTTTCCTGATTGTTTCGATTCTACCTGCGTTCGTTTATTGAATTGATTGAAATGGTTTTGTTTGTTTGTTTGTTTATGTTAGTTTATTGATTGAATCGCTTGTGGTTGAAGGTTGTTTATGGTTAAGTGGAATAGCGGGTTCGATTGCTTACAATTGGTCACAACCCAATATGAAAACCAGCGTTAAGATCATTCACGCAAGGTATGTCTCTCCTTTCCAGCCCATTCTCTTTAACCTTTTCTCATTTTCTGATAGAAACTAGAGTAGTAAACATGTGAATATTTCTATAATGGAAAGCACATCATCTCCAATGTATAAAAAAAATTTTGGACTTGGATACTCCTCAATGTTCAGCATTCTGGAGTACGTTTCGGGTACCACGTCCTTTCTGTTCCTCAAATAGGCATTGAAGCATTCATGTATTTCTCAATTGGATGAACGCTTCACTGTTATGTTTACATAGTTGTACTACTATGCATATCACCCCTCCCTCCCTTACATCGGAACCAAACTAGCAACATTGAATATTGAAGCCTTTCTTCATAAACTTTTTCCAACCACATATGTAAAATTGTGTAACTATAAAGAAAGCTTCCTGCTTGTTCAAGCGAGGGATCTACATATTTATCAAAGCCTTGTTTTGTTTTTGCATTTCTGCACTCCCAATATTTATGTCTTATTCACTTCAAGGAAATAATTGTGTGGTTTCTTTCTAAATACTCCTGTCTGGATTCAGTTTTTAAAAAATTCATTTTAAGGAATTAGTTTCAACTTTCAAATATCAAATGATTCCTTCAAATGAGTTCGTCTTTCACTCATATTGAGTATGGAAAGTAGAAAACTAATTTCGGGCTAGCAAAAACAAGTGCACAACTGAATCTGGACGGAGGGAGTAAAAATCTACCAATCAATTTCATTTTTCTTGACAAATGTGTCAAAAGCAAAGACGATATAATATGGGGATGGATCTACACAGGGATTAGTATGCATTAAGTAACCATGAACCTTGTGTGGTTGGCTCTTAAGCTTACACTACAAAGTACAAATTGAACTCTCAGCCTTCATTCATAGGCGCAAGAGAATTTATTAAAACACTAGTAGCATATTTTCCCCCTTCCCCACCGTAAACATGCTAGCTTAGCAGTGGACCAGTGGTTGATACATTGTATCCTCGCTCATAAATAGAATGGCATTTGTTGCTTGTTGGATCAGGTTGCATGCTCAAGCACTAACACTCGCTGCTCTCGCTGGGGCTGCCGTTGTTGAGTACTATGATCACAAATCAGGAGCTAAGGCAGAGCGTGTTGCCAAATACCTCAACCTCGGTTCCCATCCCCATAAAGATTGAATCTTTTACAGGACAGCTGAGGCATGAAGTGCTCTTTGTGGCTAGGATACTCTTTCTTACCAACTTGACAAGTGTTGTGCCAAACTGTGGCTTAATAATAAGAAACCAAAATCATACATGCTTCGCGGATTGGGCCTTGTGTTGCCTAACCTACCTAGACAGATGTTATTATTACGCCATATCTTTTAAATCAAGCTCCATTCCCGTTTTTCAAAACCAAAGCTATTGCATGACAAATGATTTTTTTAATGTACGCCACCTTTGAAACCGAAGAAGTGAATGCCTATGAACGGTTCACGAACATGCGATGTAGGTGAAAGTATTGTCAAAAGTGGTGTCATTGTTGGTGTAAATCGAGAATTACTCCATTCAAATTGTGTTGCTGCTACATGCTAGTGCAATTTAGGTTCATGATGAGCATATGTATGTATTGAATTGTTTTTAATCATCATATTTTAGGGAGTCATTATGGAGATTACTTGCTTGGGATTCACAACATGGAGAAAGATGATGGTAAAGAGGGAGATGGGCAAAAAACTAGGGGTGTGTGTGTGTGTACTCCCATACTCCCATCTCATAATATAAGAATTTAGAATTGGTAGAAGGAAAATGCTAGGGTGCCACCACATGGGTGCTACCATGGGTGCACTCATGCTTCGCACAGACAAACACAGACGATAATTGTCTGTGTCGCACAAACAATTATCGTCTGTGTTTGTCTGTGCGAAGAATGGGTGCACCCATGGTAGCACCCATGTGGTGGCACCCTAGCATGGTCCTTGGTGGAATGGGGCGGGGGTGGGGATGCTGGTAGGGTTTCACGCGTTAATGATTTATTATGTCTATTCAATTGTAGAATTCCTTCCTCTTTCGTTTACAGTGATACCTTCGGCTGGAGTAGATATTACTCCGTATAAATTTGGCGAGAGTAATAAAGAACCCTATCATGTTAGAGCGTCTTCAATGAAAAGTGTATATTCTTAAATGGAGCGTCTAAAATGACACCAGTTACTTATACACCAGTTGCTTACACCAGTTCTTTTGGGGTACCTACGGTGCTCCAAACGAACTGGTGTAAGCAAATGACACCGGTACCACTGGTGTCATTTTAGACTTACTGATTCTTAAATATACAATATAGTTAACATGTTTTGATCCTCCACTATATAGTGTAAAAGTAATTATAAAATCATTATAATGCAAAAAAAAACTCACTTCTATTTGTATACGTTGGTGTATAAAAAGTACTCCGTATATTATATTGAATATAGTCTGTAGAAAATATGGTTGAAGTGAGTACTCCCTCTGTTCCACAAAACTTTAAACCTTTCGTTTTTTTAATTCCCTAAAACACTTTCACTTTCTATTTAAAAACCACTTTTACTCTTACTTTTTCATACCCCATCTATCATATCATACTTTTTCACTAATAACTAAACTATCACATCTTACTTTTACCCATCACATCAGGGGCAAAATTGAAAAGTCAACCAAAATTTCACTTTTCTTAAGTTTGCCAAAAGTCAAAAGTGGAAAGATTTAAAGGAACGGAAGGAGTATAAAAGAGTAAGTGTGTAAATTGTAAAATACTCCCTCTGTCCTAAAAAAGATTGCCACGCTTCACTATTCAAAATTCATGGGAACTTTTATATGTTTTCACGTTTTTATTGATTATTTGATAAAATAAAATATTATTGTCACCTCTTGTTTTGTAGATATTTTGACGTAGTTTTTAAATATGCTAGTTTTAGTTTTTATTTCTGTATCAATCTTCAAATACAGTGATTTCAAAAAACTCAAAAGTTTGCTTCGTTTAACGTAATGTTGAAATCTTTTTGGGACGAATGGAGTAATATCGTAAATGTAGAAGAAAATACTTTCTATACACTACTATTTTTACACTGCCCATTATAGATACCCTTGTATTCTTCTTTTCAATTGCCACCACCTCAACTTACACACCAAAAACGGAGGAATTCCTATATACAATGTATAATATTGAAACCTAGGTAACATGAGTCCCAAATGGGGCTTCTACGGTTAACCCTTTCTAAAATTGGCAATTCCTATTTTATCTAAACCCCCACCCACGTCGACCTGAACCCATACTATCATTCCCTTCAATTGAACATTATAATTTTGTTTGACTTTGGAGTCAAACTTTTTACTTTAAAGTCAAACAAATTTAGGGGTGAAATTGAAGGAAAGTGGGGGTAGGTTTGGATCGAGTTTATTCATGATATTTTTTTAGTATTATTAATTCGATTACAGTAGTATAATTTAATAACCACAAATAATCAATACGCTTAAATTTGATCCAGTGAACTTTAAATTTTGGGGATCAAATTTCCTACATGACAAGTTTTGAATTTGTTAAACAAGAAAAGGAAAAAATAATCTCGATGCCAAAACAAATGCCACTGTGGGCTCAATCTTGATTCGGGAATCATCTCCCGCGCGAGGCCACTGTGGGCTCAACTGTGGCCGAAGCAAAATTCGAATCCATGGCTACCACCGGAACTCGAAATCCCTCCGCCGTCGGCAACCCACCGCCGGCTCCACTGCTTTCTGATACAGACATAGTTGAACTAGCCCGACAATACCACCCGCACTCATCTACCCCCCTCCCTCAGTTCCTCCTCAGCGAAGCCTCACACGAGAAGCTCATCTCCCACCTCCACGCACGCGCCGCCGTTCCCAATTCATCACTCTCTGTCTCGGAGTATGTTTCCGCCCTTCTCTCCCTGACTCAACTCCACCCTTCCCTATTCTCTCTCACATCCGCCCTTATCCTCTCATATACGTCTCTTTTCTGTTCCAGTAAAATTCCCCATGACCGACATTCCCTCTATACTATCCAGCTATTCACCCCCCACCTCGACTACATTTCATCTTCAGATTTGGTCTCCATCGCCGACAAAGTTCTGTGCTATGTCCACCAAATTACCGACCCTGATGATTCCCACATTCTAATTCTTCTCTCGAACTGCCTTCGACTGATAAGAACGTCCAGAGAAATGGATAATCCCATCCATTATTTTAATTCAGCTATCGATAGAATGCTTAGTTTTAACTGGAGCAATGTTTTCCTGTTGAAAACAGTGGAGATTCTAAGCGATTTTTCCTTTCTCTATAAAAATAAGAAAGAGGACTTGCTGGAGAAGATCTTCAATGGAATGAAGAATGTGGACATACAAGACTTGCCAGGTCTTGTGTATCAGTTGTTGGTTTTGGCATCAAAAGGTTTCGGAAAGAGGGAAGTTATTGAAGGTATCGTGATGCATTTCGGGGAGAATTTGGCAGGAAAATGGGGCTCTATAGGGAGGCAAGTTGAAGGAACAGTGTTGCTTCATGTGAACTTCGCAGTCAAGCAGGACCCTTCTTTGGGCCAAGAAGTTTCAGGGCTAGTCAGATCAGATTGTCGTGCGTTTAATCATTTTGCTGTTGCAGTTTTGTTGTCAGTTGCTAGGATTCGGAGGTTCACTGAGCGCACGATGGGAGTCTTAAGAACAGCTTTGTTTGCTGCTTATAAAGACTTTGAATTTGCTCGGTAAGTCGTAC